AGGCTTGTCAGTAATATGTCAAGATAAGCAGAGTATACGCACACGTCTTTTCATGCTTTTCTTGCAGTCCCCCCAAGCTGCAAAATACCGGCCTTCAATTGTCACTCCCGCACTTCCACTCCTCCATTCATCAGAGAGCAATTTTGTACTGCATTCGTGTGAGCCAGCACGTGAGAGGTTGATGTGAATGACTTCGATCCGATTCTTGTAGATCATCGCCACTGGCACCGCGTCCTGTACTTTGGATCGAGATATAGCCGTGGCAAGTATGCCGCTACTACTGTGTGGGAGGATGGTGTGGCCGTAGGTGGAATCGACAGGTGTGCTTGGAGTAGGCGCTTGGCTAAAAGTACTGGAACCGCTCCGCGTCCCTGTTGTTGACAGGCTCGGGCTTGAGATGGCCGGGGATATGCCTGAAACGCACGCAGGAGTGACGACTAGCTCTGGAGGTTCATATCTTCGTAGTAATGGCGGACCTGACTCCTGCATATTGTAGGTGGTCAACATTTCACAAGCGTTGTATAGACCTCCCACAATTTTCTCGAGTTTTGACGCACTAGGCCTGTCTGCTTTGTTGACGATCAATATCTCTTTTGCGAGCTTTTGGGCCCAAAGCCTCACAACAGGATCTGTCGAGAATCTCCGCGTCTGGAGGTCATTCAACCACTTCGCCACTGCGTCACATAATCTGAACTCTTTCTTGCCTGGGAATAGTGTATTGGGAGTGATTTCTTCCCAAAAAGCATCCTTCTGACCCCGGCGCGCTCGCGAGTACGCAAATTCCTCCACCTCTGTTCGTCTGCCGATCGCCCATGCAAGAACCTCAGAGAACACGCATCCAAAAGACCATACATCGCTTCGGCGCCCTGCGCCTTCTGTTTCAACTGAGTCGCCCTTCATATGAATCCCTTCAGGGGGTTGATATGTCCCCAATTGCGGGACTGCTACTCTGTCAATGGTCACCTCGCGATAAAGATCTCTGATGCTCAGTGCATGCGCTCGACTATGACGATCATGCTCGGCGACGGAAATCCCAAAATCCGATATCACCCACTTTCCCACGGTTGAGCTAGAGTCCTTCATAATCAGAATGTTGTCAGGCTTGAGATCCATGTGGGCGCACTTGATATCCTTGGTTTTGATCTTGATACCATTGTGCAGCCAGTCCAGAGCCGAAGCCAAAGCCCAGCATTGATACAAAAGAGGCTTGTAAACTTCCGGAGTTGAGTTAGGCGCAATGAGTGGGAATCGTTGGCGGAAATCGTAAATTCCCGCACCATCTAAGAGAAATTGGTCCAAGTCACCTAGCTCTGCGTACGGAAAGAGAATATAGTACTGCGGCCCATGTGAAATGGTGGTGAGATGTTGCAAAATGTGAGCCTGGTTTGTGAGGCTACTCTTGAGATTTTGTAGGTTTGCCAATTCAGTTTCGAAGTCCTGTAGCTTCCTGACGCCTTCGAATCGTTTGCAAGCAACTTTAAAAGGATACTCGAAATCAGCTCCTCGATTTAACTTTAGGTAACGTGGGGCGATTTTCACAAGCTCTACTACCCCGAAGCCGCCAGACCCAATCAATTTCGGTGTGGATAGGAAGGGAAGACGACGACGCGCATCGATCAGTTGCAATGGTGGGTCTCGATCGCAGTGTATCTCGGCCGGACAGAAGGCCCATTGGTAGTCATTGAATAGAAAGAACAGCTCCGGTTCAAGCGATAAGAGCTTTCGTATCTCCCCACCTTGTAATGGGAGTTTTGTATCGTTAATCTCGTCAATATCAAGGTTGGCGTGAAACCTTGCAATGGTTTTGATTGCTCTGATATAAGTAAGGACAGATAATACGGCGACGCATTCACGCTGTACCCGACGTATGTCTTGCGATGAAATCGGATCGGGACCAAGCAAGGTATGCAGCCGCGTCTCGTCTTGCCATATTTCCAGCAGGGCCTGGCGACAGATAAAGCGCTTGGAGGGTTCATCTCCCTGCATGAAGTGCTGGCGCAGCTCTTCGTTGACCCGTTCCACCAGGTTCCGCCGTCGAGCCTTGAAGTCAAGAGTTGGTAAGGACATATGAATAGGAAGAAGGCGAATTTGTCAACATCTCCAGGACGAAAAAAGGGTCCAAATAAGATAGTTAGGTTTCATGAAACAAAATCTGATTATTGGCAGTTCGTTTCGATTTGGATGCGGTAAACTCACAGGAGAAGGCTAAAGTTGTAGAAAGAACAGAGAAAGGAATCAAGCAGAGAACGAGACGAGGCGATAAGACACCATGTCTTCAGTCAGGTGCCTCGGCGGTGCGTAGGCATCGTAAAGCTTCCAATAAGAACAAGGCAGCCACAGCCTCGTCCGGCCGTCACATGACTGGGATATTGGCATAGAGAGCACTTCTGAACTTGACATGCCTGTTGCATTTTAAATTGCTATTTCAACCCAGAAAACCAGTAAAAGAGACCCCTAGACTCATTTGACATTCTGCATTATATCTCATAGGAACTGTAATCTGAAGCATAGACCATATGCTTCAGCTCGAAGGGTTCAGATAAGTATAGCCTCATGCTTGGCACGGATGTGATCTACAAACCCTACTATATAGACCAATATTAGATGAATTCATTGTGGCACCACATCAGGTAGAAAGTTACTCAACGCAGGAACAGCAACTTACTTTTCTTTCTATCGACGATAGAATGAAAAAGTGTAGAACAACCTCCATGGTGTTTCAGACGCGACTCTGAAGTGACGCGTTCTTAGGTATCAGTGAGGAAACGCGCTAGAGTGTATATCCACTTCGCTGTGTGTTGAATCCTCCTTGTTCTTCTTTCTCTTCTCTTCATTCCCGACCACCGCTCTGCATCCTTCCAGCTCTATCGATCTGATTCAAAAACAAGTCTTCAAAGAACATTAAATCCCGTTACTTACCATGCGTTCCTTCTGGACCCTGACGGTTACAATCTTTCTTTCCTTTCTGCTGAGCACCGCAGCACAGATACTCTAGTAAGTTATCCTCAGTAAGAGCCTGAAGTAAGCTGACGCGGTCGCACTTTTTGTAGTGACCCCGATACCAACCTCGTTCTTTGCCCCCAGAATGGTGGAAGTTACTGCCTTCACGGTTCGCTAAAGGGGCCAACTCTTATCAGCTGTGCTTCGAATGTGTCTGTCGAGATTCATACCTGTAATATCCTGTAAGATCTTCCTTGTTTCTGAATTTAGAAGGCACTAAAGGCTCACTGCAGTCGCGACTAGCCTGTCTAAAGTGCTTCCGGATGAGTACAAGCAAGCTGCGACCTGTAAGTCTATCTGTACCTTTACCCAGCTTATACTGCTCTTGCTTTCTCTAGACTATCAAGCTAATACTCTGAAAGGTCACGAAACTTCTACCTCAGCCGGCGACGCTCTCTGCGCCTTCAACGGCACTGGCTATGTTCTTTCCAGCCCCGTTCTGCCTGTTGCCGTTCCGGAGACTCTCCTCTGTGAGGACGCCCAACAGAACGGACAAGAAGAAGCTCCCAGCGTTAGTAGCACTGCTGTCGTCTACGGACCGTCCACCTCTTCCCAGAATGACTGGCCCTCAACTTCCGTGCCACGACTCACACGTACTTCGACTGCCTATACTACCATCGCAGTCATTGCACTGAGCACGACCTTGGAAGTCCCTACTGCTACCTCTACCCCTAGTCCTACCCAGTTCAAACGAGACTACCCCTGCTCCAACGCACGCACTGAATCCCCATCCACCGACTGGCCCACCCCGACCCCCGTGAGTCTCCACGAGCTCGCTGCACTCACAACCCCCGAAGAATCACCCTCCCCAACCTCCACCCGCCACCTTTCCACCTCCACCTCGACAATCTACATGTACAAAGGCTCCGTGGTCCCCGCGACCTTCTCTCCTCAGGAAACCGGCACCGCTAGCCGCGTCACGGTGGTCGTGACCTTCACTGCCAAAGCATCGAAGACCACCGTCACTGATGAAAGCCCTGACCTTACTACTCTGACCGGCACTCACTCCCCTACTCACAAGGGGGCGGCAAATTCCGGCTCCGCGGAGGTGGTGACGGCGTCCCTGTGGGTGTTGGGTTGCATCATGGTCTGCATGGCGATTATTTGCTTGTGGCTGATGTGGGATGACAACTGATTCTGATGCTGAAGATGGGGCGTTTTCGGTGTTGCTTCTCTGATCGAAGATTGTTTTCTCTTGCTTGCGAGTATTTCAGCGGGCGTTTTATGGAGTTGAAAGACGGATTTGTTATTACCGATCTTGATCATGTTTGACTCACACATAGTGGAATTTATGACCTACTGCAGGAGTTATCTTATGTGTTTGATAGCACACAGGCATATCATACTCGAAGTCGTCTGCAGTTCGTACAGTGTACTGGCCCTGACTATCAAGTACAGACCTCTATATGTAGCTGTTTTCTTCGCATGAGAGGTTTACTAACACATCTTGATCAGAGGCTCACAATTTCCAGCCTCGGATCACGCCTGCGTGCCTGCAGTTCCAATAATTGGAATGTTATGTGGCACTATTAACTATTCAAGCGCCCTGTTTGCAAGCTAAGCTAAAGTCGCATTATTGTTTCGATGATTTCAGCAACCTCGCCTCCTCCCGTGACAATATTGCTACATATAAGGGCTCGATCTTCATGAACATACGGCCCTGGTTGCTCCCTTCGGTGCCTTCTAGTATCCAAGCAGCTTGGAACATGATCCACAGTGGAATAGCATCTTAAATTTGGAAGAAAAAAAAGGAAGAAAGGAAACAAAAAGGAACAAAGATCTTCATCTTGGAATCTATCGACGGCGTTGTAGCTTAGTAGTCACCGTCCAAAAAAGGGTTGAATATATACAAATCAGACATAGAGTGTATCTAGTATATCACAACATCATTTGGCCACCAAATCGTTCGATCAACCTCTATCCTCTATCAGCCCATCCTTCATCCCAAAGAGGATACAGAATGCAAGCAACTCGAACCACACCACCCAAACCAAACTACCTCACACACCATACTTATCACCCGCACCTTGCAACAAATGGGTTATCTCACTCGGATGAAAGAAGTTAAACACCGCCATCGCGGAGAAAATCAGCACCGCATCGAAGATATACAGGAAGACCTCGTGATGCAACAAATACCCATCGTTACCCTGCAGGTATTCGACCAACCGGAAGACAGACCGCACCATGATGAGAAAGCTGCTGAGGTAGATGATATTGAGATGCTTGCGCCAGGGGACGGACGGATCGCGACACCGCGGGATGGGGTATTTCTTCAGCTTACGATCGAACGCGCCGGCTGTGACCATAAAAAAGCCGAAGAAGAAGATCTGCACGAGGAGCCCGGCGACGATGATGTGTTCGCCGGTTTGCATGCCGGAGAGGCTGCCGCTGGCTTGGATTCCGCCTCCTTTGCGGGGTGTCAGGACTGTCTCGGGGGGAAAGAGGGGCTGAGGGGAGGGGGAAGATTGGATGGCTGAACTCACCCGCGCCTTGGAGGAAGAATGAGAGGACGTCTCCGGTGACGAAGACCTTGGTTAGCCATTTTTTGCGGAGGATGGCGTGGGATTCTGCGTCCAGGATCAGGATGATCCGGCCGAGAAGCATGTAGATTGATGCGGCGAGGAGGGCGGGAGCAAGAAGGAGGAATAAGGTCTGAAGGAGGTAAGGGCCCAGGGTCCAGTTGGGCGATTCGTGACTTGAAAGTCCTCGGCCGATGTAGCCTATAATTTCGACTGGTGGGAGTACCAAGTAAGCATTTTGTTGTGGGTGTAAGATTGATGGCGGTTGGAATTTACTGACAGATGCCTCCTACCACAAATGGAATAAAGAACCATGTTTGAGTCCGCCATAGCTGGACAATATGCCATATCGTTGTAATTGCGAAGAGTAATGTGAAGATGACTGCACCAGCCATGCTGGGGTCATATCGATAGAATGCGAACACTGCGGCAGCGTTGGTGCTGTTATCGCTGCCGCCGCTGCTGCTGCTGTTGCTGCTCATTTCAGTAATTAGGCAGATAGGTAGGTGGCAAGAAGGGTTAAGAGTAGTCATCAAAATGGAAAGAATCTCACGAACCAGGTATATATGTAAGCTTGGATGATTTAAGAATCGGTTGTCATGCGGGACGTAAAAATCACTAGGGCTGCAATTGTTTCCACCTCGTATATTCGTATCGCCATATATCGCCGCCCGCAGGTCTCTCGTCGCCCAGCCCAGCCACGAAACCGAATGCGAATGTTCAACGAGATACCCGATGAATAGATACAGGATAGGTAGGTTAGTCCGGTGATGCCGAATCTGTCGCCACGAGAGTATCCCTCCTCCAAGATTGATTCCGTACATAATGACTTCCGCCCGTCGCTGTACCACGCACCTGCCACTGATGAAAGTGTTTTTGTCGCCTTTTGAGTTATCATATGGGGTCACCTATCCCCTAACAAGCAACCTTCAGTATATGTGAGATCAAGGGGATGATGTTCTTTTTCCTCGTCTCGCCAACACCGTCGCCGACCCCAGCGACAACAGGCAGTATATGTGCGGCTCTGGACCTCTTGGCCCTCCGTAATTTCCAAATGGCAGAAACAAGATCCAACCTCCTGATAAACTCAGCATCAGCGTCAAGCTCATTAGCATCGCCTTCAAACAACTCATCGGACTCTGCGTACTCTACGGATAGTATGTCCGGCACACCATCACCAAGAGAGCCTGGAACCGTACGGGACCAGGAGAGTAGCTCGCGTTTATCCAAGGAAAGGAGGCGTCGCGTCCGACACCATAAATCCCGCAAGGGGTGCTTCACCTGTAAGCAACGGAGAGTCAAAGTCAGCAACAGTCATCTACGACAACTTATGAATGGATGCATTAACAATTCATCTCAGTGCGACGAGGTGCAGCCTATCTGTGGCGCATGCGCTTTTCGCGGTGAATCCTGTTCATATCCTGTATCAGCACCATCCAAGTATGCGTATATCAGACTGCTATCATATTCTTAGATGAAAACTAACACGTGAAGCCTAGTTCTGCCCCATCCAGGTCTTCTCGACGCTCATGCTCCGCAGCAGGTTCTTTGCAACCATTGGAATTTCGTCACCAAGGACTGTTCACAGAATTCCCTTTACTCGACCAAAATATCAATCTAGCGGACTTACGACTCCTTTCAAGGTTCATGATGCACACTTCAAAGGGGATGACCCTCAGTGCGACACGCAAATATATTTGGGAGCAGGTGATACCAGATATAGCGACCAAAAAGGAGTATCTGATGCATCTACTCCTCGCTCTCTCGGGCGAGCATGTCCTATATCAAGCCCACATGGCGGAATCAACCGCCTTAGGCATAGACGAGAGTCAGTCTTCCTTGGCCGCCTGCAGCCAACACGAGCTTCAGCTTGAGTACCACCGTGTCATTCAGCATCATCAAAAGGGCCTCGAAGGATTCCGACAGGCCTTGACAGATATCTCTCCTGCCACCGCAGAGTATGTCTTCTGCGGCGCGCTTCTCATTGTCGCCATTGCCTTTGCTTCGATATCTACCAGGAATCAAGATTACACCGCCGGGCTGGGTTTTAGCCAGCCCGACGATGACCAGAGCCCGTACATCGACTGGCTGCATCTTGTCCGCGGCCTGACAAGCATAGTTGAGGGGCACTGGCTCACTCTCAAGCGCGGACGACTGCGGACCATGTTGTTATACACGCACGCAAACGACGATTGGAAGGCGGCTGTACCGGCTATCTCCTCATCGCAGTTTCCCCGCTTGAGGTATGCCCCGAAAGTCTTCCACGTGTTTGCCCAAGGTGCCTGCCAAGCACTTGATATGCTACGTACCTTTGCAGGGACGCTGTCCCCAAATCAAGAAACCACAACTTCCATTGATCGGGATAGCTTCGGCAGACCTGAGCAGTCTGATAACGACGACCAGCCACCACCCAGCAGAGTAGCGGATGACAGTCCACGGCACGACCACGAACAAGACGATTATCCACAACGCGACCATCTTCACACCATCGACAGACTAGAAGAGATCTACATGCGCATCCTCTACGCCCTGCAATTTTCGCGAAGCGAGCGTGACACCCCCGCCTCCCTCGACATTCAAAACGACATCGAAGACAGCGCCGTGATTTCTTGGCCCTGTATGCTTTCGGCTCGCTTCTTTGACAGCCTCCAGAGTTCCGCTGTCGACCACCTGGGGGCCGCGGGGGGGTTTTCGTACACGATCCTAGCCCATTTCTACATTGTCTCAATCCTATTTCAGGATGTGTGGTACCTAAACAGCGGCTTTCGCTCGGAGATTCAAAAGATCATCCGGCTGGTGAGCCGACTAGAGAACGAGGCACTAAGTGGTCTATTGACGTGGCCCATGGCCGTCATTGCGGAGTCTCGATGAGGCGAAATCTGTTGGCTCACTCACACTTTTGACCTTTTCTTCTCCCCTGTCGGGATTTTTCCTCTTCTCTATCTAGTCCTCTTTTCCCTCCCTGTCCCTGGTAGGAAGGCAAATTTCGTACATTTCGTAATCCCGTCCCTAATTTGCATACAGTACCATATACCCTCCGTTCCTGTTCCGGGATACTCAAAATCTGCAGGCTTCTGTCGGGCCAAAATTCGCTTGGGTGACACCCGAATAACCTTTTCTTCCTCCATGGCCCCTGGTTCCCCACACATGCGGAACCAGAGTTTCGCGACTGGTTGTGACCTTCCGGTTCCGATGGTAAACTTCTTTTGTACGAATATACGAGACCGTGCAATGTACTAGACCCCACAAGTGATTGGGCTTTTTTCATAATGCAATGAGATCATCCCCCCCCCCCCCCCCAACTAATCTTGTCTAGCTCGTTCTCGGCCACTATTCACATTAGCTAGCCTCGGTAGAATGCAAGCCTCAATAGAATGAACCAAGACGAGAATTTCCTATTTATGGCAGGTTTATTCCGATTATGTTCTCTATGTTGAGAAAGAGTAAAGAGGCAAACGCTCCAAGGAAATCAAGCCCCAAAGTGAGAACATAGATCAATCTCAGCGCGCTATCAGCAAATTAAATCCTCCCCCGCCCCCGTTCCCCGCCGCAGGTACACAAAGGAGGAAAAAGGACAAAAAGCAATGAGAAGAGATGCTAAAGGCGATGAAAGCAAGGAAAAGCATCCATTTGACAAATAAGATATTAAACGGAATCGGCCCTCTCCGCACCGCGTTTCTGCCCCTCCAAAAACGACCCCGGGAACACAAACCCCAACACCATCGCCGTCCCCGCCATGAGCAACGCATCGAATATATACAGCAGATACTCGCGGTGCATGATCCACCCGTCGTTGCCTTGCACGAACTCAACCACCCGGAATACAGACCGAACAAGAATCAACGTACACGCCGCGTACAGCGCCCACATCAGCCCCCGCCACGAGAGCCGGCCGCTTTGGGATTTGAGGGTGGTGGTGGAGTACGGGGTCATCGAGGTGACACACCGCCAGTGGAAGAGAGAGGCTACCAGGACGAAGAATCCGAAGAAGAGGAGCTGGATCGCGAGGCCGGCGACGACGATGTGTTCGCCGGCGAGCATGGCGGAGTCGCTGCCGGCGGACATGTATCCGCCGCCTCCGCATTGCAAGAGGAAGGAGATGACGTCGCCCACGACGAAGATCTTGGTCAGCCACCGGACGCGGATGAGGGAGGCGGATTCGGCGCGGAGTTGGGTGATGAGGCGGCCCAGGGTCATGTAGATGGAGGCGGCGAAGAGAGGCGGCGCAACGAGGATGAGCATCGTTTGCGTGATGTAGGGCCCCAGGGCCTGGGTGTCGGAGTGCGAGAAGATCCGCGCGATGTAGCCGGCGGCTTCAACTAATACCCCAGCAGGTCCAGTTAGTTTACCTCTTTTCTAAGAATCAAGGAGGGGTGGTCGTACAGATCAGTCCAACCAAGAAGGGGATGAAAAAAAGTGTCCGGTGCCTGACTATGCGATAGATGAAGAAAATGGCCAGCGCGCAGAACACCACAGTGAAGACCACTGCTGCCGCAATCGAGGGCGTGTAGCGGTACAGGACGAAACCTGAAGCATTTTGGTCTGTATTTGGGTTGGCCATGGGTGTAGAATGCCAGACACTCTGTGGTGACGGCACGTTTATATGCAACGTGTATGAATAGTATAGTGTCACACTTCGTCTATTTCTCTAGTGCTGCAATCAAAAAGGAATCCGGCCCATTTGCAGGGCTGGAGGTTGAGAAGCCATTTTAAATGAGAACATGTGGAGGACTCTTCTTCTCCTCGTGGCGAATTGAGCATGATATGGTACCACGAGCAATGGAAACAGATCTTGCTCTTATTCTCGTAGGACCATGGCGCCTGTGTACAGTACCTGAGAGGAAGTGGGGCGCAAAACTGAGTTTCCGGCGGGGATCCGAACCCTATAAAGCCTAGATTTACGAAGATACGAATGTACGAGCGTACGAACGTACGGATACTCATTGCCATCGTCAGCCCAGGGGGGGGGGGGGGGGGGGGGGGTCGGTTCTTTTCAACTTGGGAATAACTCCACCTCAAGAATAATAAGAAAGAACACTTACAGATTCCATTTTTTCCGAACTTTGTTGTAGAATAACATATCCAACCACAAGCGGTTTGGCTGAGAGTCTTACTTTCAGTCGCTGTTCGCATAGATATATGCATAATTCCTGATTCAATTAGAAGGCTCCCTTCATAGCCTTATATTGAGGGTGTTATCTAAAAGGTGCCTAGTATTTCAGGCACTTAAGCTTTGTTGGACTTATAGAAAAAGACCGGCTTACGATATACCTACTTACGTTTCAAATTTCCTTTTAGGATATAGCTCGATTATCTTGTGTTCAGATCCCAAATCTTGATCTCGTGATATGTAGCTAGATTAGGTCTCAAGAATAGGAACTGAATGTGAGTTGCGTTATGTTTGGGGTGGAATTATTTGTGAGGTGGAGGCGACCAGTATGCGGGTATGCGAATGAGCGAACATACGAGTATACGAGTATACGAGTGTACGAATGTACGACGGGAATGGACAGTTTAAATTCAAAACCGCCACCGTCACCAAGAATATTCTTAGAAGTCCTCCGGGGGTGGTCCTCTTTTATCTGTTTGTATTGCCTTGTTTTTCAATCTCCTCTTATTTCTCTCTTATTTTTCTTTATTTATTTGGTTCATCTTTACCTCTAATTATCGATTCGCTGGGGAGTTGGTCACAGCTCAAGGTCTAGAGTCCTCGGGCCTGTTCCCAGCAACCGCTTCATCCCCTCCTCCAGAGCAGACAATCGAGCCTCCGTCTACTCGACCTATGTCCTTTGTAGAGGAGAAATCTGACTGTTTATCGGCAGTTGTTTCAACTTCGCTTCCCGAGCGGACGACTTCGCCGTCGACTGCCCTTGAGCCAATAACATCTTCAGGCGAGTCCTCGGACTCGTCCCCAGTAACCCCTCCATTGCTACCTCGAGAGCAAAGGACCATGTCTCTGTCTACTTCTACATATACTGCAAGAGATCTCTCGCCCCCTTTTTCCCCAATCGTGTCATCGCCGTCTCCAGAGCAAGCATCTGTTTCTGAACCTTTGTCTGCTCCAAGGCAGGCTTCGAATTCTTCTCTCACAATCGCACCTTCGTCTACTCCTCGACCCATGTCTCCACCAAAGGAACCCTCTAACTCGTCCTCAGCAGCAGCTCCACCATCCTCTTCAGAGCAGACGAGTGAGCCTAGATCTGCCCCTCAAATCATGTCTTTCACCCCAAGCGAGTCGTCTAACCCCCAACCAAGCACTCTATCACCGGCACCAGATCAATCGATCGAGCCTCCATCTAACCCTCAACCTATACCTTCTCCTCCAAGGCAATCCTCCGAACAGTTCCAAATAAACATGTCATCATCAGTGGTGATCGTGGTGTCGTCCCCAGAGGACCCCGCGCCTCGTACCAGCGTTTCTGCCAGGCGTAAACTTTTTGAAGGTATACCAATCATGGGACTTCGGCGCCAAGTGAATGCGGAAGATTGAATATTCTTACAAGTCCTCCGGGGTTGTTCTCTTTCCTCTGCTTGCATTGCCCTTATACTTCATCTCTTTTCATTCCTCTCTCATGTTCCCTATTTGTCTGATCTATTTCCCCCTCTACTTATAGGATCGCTGGGGGATTGGTCCCAGCTTAATGTCGAATTGTTGAGATAGATGGATGATGCCATGCGCAACGGGAATTCTACTTCGGTACATGAATGATATCGGTCTTCTCACGAGTAAACGATGACCTGCCAGTGCATTGCGAAAAAAAATAAAAAAAAAAAGAACCAGGGTTGAGCACAGGTTTTTATATACCGGACTGCTCAACAAGCCCTGATCACGAAAGCTTTCTCTGCCATTATTCGCAACTGCGAGGCCTGGCTCGCATGAACGGCCTCGCTCGCATTAACAGTCTCGCCCGCGGAAATCCTCAGGCGGTTCCTTTCTTGCATAAACGACCAGTCATCGTATGTCTTCCCAGTCTCGCATAAACTTTAGGATCCATTTCCACAGCTTGGGGTCGGCGACAAAAATGTCTTTACGAAGCAGTGTTGGCGGATCGTCTGCGGTATATTGAGTTTTCCATTCTGACATAATCGTCAGCTTCTTTGCAATTGTATATCTGAGATCCTTGTCGTGAAAGTAGTTCTTTTCATCTTTCTCAATCTTTGAGGGTTGCTGGTCCTCTTTTTGAAGTTCTTGATAAAGCTGGACGTATCGAGGCGAATACCGCTGTTGTAAAATATATTGTGCCAGATCGGCCTCGGGACCACGTGTAAAGTGCCACATGGTCGCGAAAAGGTCGTAGTCGGCAATAGAGTCAAGGCTGAGAAGGCGACTCAATCTCCAGGCGACGTGGGCCCGATCAAGTGATTCGCGATATCTTTGGATCAAGCTCTTGTCGGCGGAGTCAGGCATGGCAGCGACAAAACCATCAATAAAGGAGGTATGTAATTCTGAACTGATTTCGTCGCGGTACTGCGGCAGTCCTGGGGCGGCTAATAACATGGATTCGGGGATGGATGAAGAGAATGCCCAGTCAATGATGCACGTGATATTATAGTCGTCATCAACGTATATATTGTTGACACTCAGATCAGCGTGGCACAGGGGAAACGTCTCCGGAACGATGGCTGGAAGTTGACCACTGTGTAAAATGTCGCGGAGCGCGTCGCCCACAATGATGTAGTCCAGTCTGTTTTGTGACGAGTCGATTTTACCTCCAACAGTCACGAAGTCGTTCCATAGGCTCACGGCGCTCTTGTATTGCATGCCGGCTTGGTAATCTTCGGGCGAGGGAACAGGTGCCACGAAGCAATGGTGCGATAACGGCAGAGCCTCTGCGTGCCCCAAGAACGCAGAAATAAGGCTGTCCCAGAACTCTGCCTCAGAAGTGAAAGGTCCACGCGAGGTCTCCAGATCGTATCGTTCATGTAAGATGTGACCACGTGAGAGGCATCCCTTGAGTTGGAAGGAACCCTCTTCTTCGAAGAGTGAGCCAACTTTCTCAAAGCGCAGCCGGGAGAGCTTCCAGGTAATACCTCCTAACTGTGTGAGAATTCTTGCCTTGATGGATGTGTCTAGGTCACGCTGAGGAGAACCAGCCGGCTTCCAGGCTTTCGAAAGTGGCCACCCCGGCGCTTCGCTCATGAGAATAAATGGGATACCGATATCGTTGTCGGAAGAAGCGCTACTACAGATTAGCACATGTAACATTGTGTGGTCTGAGAGGGTCTCTTACCAGTAGTCGTACACTATTGGGACTGGAATGTCGCTATGAGCCCTCAGGTATCGGAGCGTGGTAGCTTCACTGGCCAGTGACTTCATTGCCATTTCCAGTGGCATAAATGTTCTGGGGTGTGGAGATCTCAGGACCCATCGTATCCCATCTGTAAATACAATGAAGATAGCCCAGTTGAAGCTTCCGGAGGCAGGACGTTGATCCGGAGTGCAAACACATGGTACGCCACCGTGCCGTAGTGCACTTGCTCGACAGCACAGAGCCTCGAGGTTGAATTTGGAGTAGTGGAATACGTTTGGCTCCGGATCTCGGAGCATTCCGCTCGCAAAAATTTTGTGATGAAAGAAAAGCCCGGGCAAAAGAGTTTCGCTGATCTCGCAGGTGGAAGTCGAGTACTGTACTCTGGGAGGGGTTGATCGGTCCCGCGCAGCCTTGGTATATCAATGGAGGCGGTGAGACCCAGTGTCTTCTTATAGCTGCTTCCTGTTCTTCAAGCAAAGGTTCTGATCTCACACTGCAATATCTTTCGTGTTAGTTGTAGTTTTCTATCATCGAAGGAGTTTCTCTTAAATAGATCCACGCGCGGAGAAGATACTCCTCAGTGGGGCACGACTTGGATTACTCGGTTCTTAGCCATTAACTAATCCCAATGTTCAATTTGCTTTATAAGGCGCGTCCGTAATCCATTGGCGATGTCCAAGGAGAAGGATGGCCCCCTGCTGTTGGTCTCATTCAGCATCCAGGTTTCCGGTCTGCAACTGCCCTTTCACTAAGATCATCCTGGATCCAACTTTGAACCTGCGATACAACTTCACCAACCAGCCGAGCATAGTGCCCGCTATTGGATAAAAACATTGACTGGTGTGCCGTTACTTCATCCATATGCTCCATCGGCACCGGGATCCAGAGTGAATCGTCTCCATGCTTCCAATGGTGTGACGGCAAAAGTACAAATTTCCGTGGCTTGCCGCTACATCTCTCCTTCCTAGCCGGGGTAACGTTGTTACGTTGAATGTGAGTATTTTCTAGAGTAATGTTGGGTGAGTCGTCGGAGGCAGCCATACTAATTTCCTTCGTCGAGAGCACCATTCCATCCTCCACGTCATCATGATCCTCCGATTCTGCCAGACTGGAGGAAGATGTGTTGAGTTCCAGATTGTCTGCGGGCACTACCAGCGATTGCTCTTCCGAGAGTATACTCCACGTCTGCATCACGGCTGTCTTTGAATTTGTTTCAGCCGGCTCAGTCTGTGCGTGATCCTTGTGTTTCAAAATTCCCCGGGGGCTTGTTCTGGTGGTAGCTGTGCTGAGGGTGTAATAATTGATCCAGTGAACTCGACGCGGGTACTCCTCCATTCCCAACGCCTTCAGCTGGCGATACCGTCGACGCAACTGCCTATAGTTGTTCAAGCAGCCAGCGAATCGATACGAGGACACCAAGCGCTTGTAGATCGACCGTGGCAGATCGTGATGGTTTTTGTGGATGAAGTGAAGCATGCCATCGATACGATCTCGCTCCACAAGATGCACATCATTGGCGAATGGCGGGTCAAATAGCGGCCCCGCTGATGCGGCGGCCGTTGCGGCACATAGATCGATATCGCTCAGGGTAGTATCTTGCTGGCCTATTTCGGCTGCCTCTGCGTTTGGTTGTTTAGGCTGCCACAGCCCGCGAAGCCCTGTCGGAATCACATGTGGATGAAGCCCTAGGAATGGAACGTCGAAGTTGACCAGCCCGAGAATGCGATGTGAGGATTGTGAGGGGAAAGGGCTGGGTAGGAGCGCAACATCGGCTGCGAGAATGCCCCCGAGGCTATGGCCTAGTAGGATCACGTCGAGATCATCAGCTACGTGTGGTGACAACCTGGAAGATAGGGAGTAATCAGCTGGAGTGTTTTGTCGGCGCACTGCCACTCTGTGCTTTGTCCTCCTGTCAAAGGTATCACCTACCATTCACTGAAATTCTCAACTGCCGTGCGTAGCTCGCCGCGAGATTTGTATCGAGGATAGACTCGAGTGTAGATCAGGTGTGACTCGCTCAAGAGATCAGTCAGGGCGGTGTGCACATGGGCTGGGAAGTCTGAGAAACTGGCTTCCGATCCTTCGAAGCCATGGATGTAGATCAGAAGCAACCTTCGCTTAGCCAGGTGCTGAGGTGATGTAGGCCGCGGGAGGGAAAGACCTGAGGAGGAACTCATTCTGTGGTCGGTGCGAACGAGTGCTGAATATATGGTCAAGAATAGATATGGCGGTAGCACACATGATTGATTTTGTGTCAAATCAAGCACGCTTTTCAGTCGCATCCATAAGGTGATTCTATGCTGCCTGTGGGTGCAGTGTTAAGTTCTGTAAGCACAGCCTCCAGGCTGGGTTGTGGGCAGTGCGACCCCAGTCACCCCACAGCAGCCAACCACTCGGAAGGCTTCAAGCAGCAACCGGGTCGGCCCGACATTTCTACTTTTGGTTTTGAATGCGAATACGAAACTCTGGTCGAGTAATTCTTGTGCAAGAATTGGAGCCACGAGATGTTGTTGGATGATCAAAATTTGTCTTTGAAAGTCAATGAAACTAAGGTCTGCATATGGTATAGTGGTAGAACATCGTCGGCTAGACTTCGAAGAACAGTAAGACCTAGGGCATTTACTAAGTCCCGGCCCGGAGCTTTAGATGTAATTGAATCCTATTGTAGCTGCCTATCCTATTTCAAGGCACTTACCACTTCCAAAGACCTACAATAGGATAAGTCTACTTAGAAAAAGCGGGTAGAGAAAGTAGTCCTATCTAAAGTTTATAACATATCTTATATAGCTACCTCGGCCTAAACTAGTCCTAGATATAGATTCATCTACTACCTTACGGTAAAGGCAACTACTTTCAATATTTAAAATAAATACCGAATTAGCCCCTAGAGGAGTCTAGGTCTAGATAGTCTAAGTCATGATTCAATTTAAGTTAAGTTAAAGTGAGGAAATACTAGGGTATGAGACGTATTTCAGGATTCTACGCCAAGGAGGGGTCTTTATAGCTAGCAGGTATCCCCCATTATAGGACCCTAATATAAGAATCTTCGGCCCCTAGAAACCTTAGTATTCCCAATATAAGAAGGGGCTAGGTATTTATCCTAGTACTCACGTGATTTGAAGAACTCTGACGGGATTAAGGAGTATTTTCATCCGCGAGGGTCAGAGTATAGTTATACAATCTCAGGAAGAGCCCGCTGTAGTAATGTGAAATGTATTAGCACGGAACAATACAAGCCCTGGGGGCTGAAAGGAGCGGCTGTTTCTCTGCTTCTCTCCGCTTGGTTTTCTTGATCATCTCTCCATTCAGGTGTTAAGCGCTTCCGTACTACACAGTATACAAAAGGAGTCTGTTTAGTACAGTACTTACTGGTATTGCTCACTCAAAGCCAGGATTATCTATCTACTTTAAAGTCTTCTTTTACGATTCTTACTCGCCATTGCGAATGGTCAATTAGTCTTATATAATCAAGCAATCTAGTGAAAATGGGTAATTCGGCTTGGAAGCTATTTAAGAGAGAATAACCAGAAGCTAACGCATGCAGCAAGTGAGCTCAGCCAAGGGGAGGCCTAAGGGGATCTGCCACCGGTCAATCCATAATAAGGTAGTACCAGTCTATAACTTAACCAACACTAGGACTACATCCCCCCGCGGGTCTTTCCGCGGGGCCCGCACCTGTTCCTGCCAAGTCTAGTCAGCCTACAGTTTTCTTCACAGCCAACAGATACAATCACAATGGATGCCAGGACCGACTCACCTTACCTCTTGTCTTAGCATTGATACTTTTACCGTCTGTGCTTTCAACATCTGTCCATTCACTGTCCGTGCGTTCAACATATGTCGTTTCACTGTCTATGCTTTCAGCATCAGTGCTGGTGTTGCGATGACTTGAAGCATGAACACGCGCGCGCCTCTGCTCTAACCGAATAATCACCCCCCCAGTTGTTATCACGACGCTCGCGGGAAGTGCCAAACAACCTGGGAGCCAGTAGGGTCGGGTCGATCGATTCAGCGCCCACATGCAGACCGCGAGGCCCACATTCAAGACGGAACCGAGAATATAGCTCCAGACCACCAGATCCAGCTTATACATCGGAGTCGGTGATGCCCTTAGTACCAGTGCTTCTCCTTCCTTCTCCACCTGCTGATGCTGCTGCTGCTGCTGTTGCTTCTCCTCATCCACATCCACCGAATCGCTGGCAACGGAGGAGGCTTGGTCATCGAGCCTGAACCAGAAATCGTGGATCGAGGCGAGAGTGGTGAACGCTTTCTGGCGCGTGCGGAGCGAGCCGCCCAGTCGCCAGCGGCCCCACAGGTACATGTCCGGAGATCTACAGAATGCAACCGCGAGGCCCGGGAGATAGTTGTGAGCGTACAGGACCTGGGTGGCAATCTCGACCCACTTCTGGCGGGGGGTGTTGTCGGCGTCGCAGGTGGGGTGGCACATTGATTGGGGTGGGTAGCCAAGTAACCAGATGTAAACTCCTAACCAAGCGAGGGAATGCAACTAGAAGAGTATGATGAAGATCCCTCGGGGTGATGAGGCCCATCGTCGTAAGGCTCGGCCTTTAGCTGTCCAGTAACCCGTAGGGGGCATGTCTCTGAGTTGAGGAGAATGGTACCGAGATAGTTGGGGGAGAGTGAATTTTCGATCAAGCTTCAATTATTTTTCAGTGAGTATCAGGGCAGAAAAAGAAGTAAATGGATGAGGTTGTGGCGATGAGTGACTGTGTGCTGATTCAGAGCAGAATAGAGATACTTGATGGGACAATGTAGAAGAGCAGAATGGAGATGACTCATGTTGTAGAAGGATGGTGCGGGCTTAGAGAAGACCTCATGATGACCGAGCCTTAAATAACGCACACGTAAGGACACCGTCCTCGTGGTTTAGGGGTATTCATATCCATGATTGCAAAGCGGGTATCCAAGGGGTGATCGGAGGTTAATTCCGTTCGTATTCGTTTGATGGCATAGTATTGCCATCATATCAGACTTGGACTCGCAAATCGACGTAATGAGCCTGCTGAATATACTGGATCTTATTCGAGGACGGAAGAGGAGGGATAAGAAGAACGGATGTTGCTTAATGTCTTTACTTACTAGCCTAACCGGCCAGGTATCAATAGATCTCAGGCGACTTGAATATAAGGACCAGCGATGTAGAAAAGCTCTGCCTTGCTGAGTAGAAACAATCCACTTTCTGGCACTCGAAATCCACATCCTCCGAGTCCCTTTGTAATAAAAAGCGAGTTAGATCAAGATTCTGGGATCGAGGAATGGTTATTTACCTAAACTAGGCAAAAGAGGGGTGGTGTTCGATTGAATGGTCTCTATAGCACCACATCCGTCCTCCGTCGACACCCACGGGTTTCTCACCCCGACCTTTTCCATGCTTGACAAGAAACAAGATGAAACCAATACAAGATTTTCTAACTCCGATGTCATGCTTTATCCATCGAACTCGACGAAAACCCCATTGATGCGAAGACTCGAAGGCGATGAGAGCGTTGTACCGCTCGGCCTAAGGATTGTCAAGACATCGATCTAGCCTATGGTTTGCTCCAAAGGATCCTGATTCTTGTAAGCACCACGTAGGTCGTGGGTACGTATGCCTTCCGAAAACCCCATGCTCATAGCTGCTTCCTAACCCTGTCGCCCAGTATACTGAGTCTGCAAAGAATATCCTAAACGTAGAAATCAATTCGCTTTTGTCAGAATCAACGTTCCCCCGGCTTTGAGGAAAACCACTCTCATGAATCTCATTGTCAATCGCCCATTGTAAGAGTGAAAACAAGATTTTTTCTACTGTACGTCCAGTTGGAATCAATCCTTCATATCTTTTCCATCTCTGTCCACTCTCTTACTTACTCACTTTTCCACTCTCCTGATCTCTCCCTTTCTTTACTCCTCACGCACCCATGGGCTTTCCAAAATGCGGGCGGTTGGGTGAGGTACTCAGAAGATTCAACCGGGGTAGATAATTATACATGGATCAGCGGACCTGATTATCTTCTCGTCAACCAGACAAGCCTGTTGTTGAATGCTACCGCATCTGTGGACGCTCTGATCCCCAGAGAGCATGCCGTCTCAATCCTCGAGCTACGGGAAATTATGTACCGCCGTCCCAAAGCGTTTCCTCCGGTCAGGACCAGGATTTCTCCCATACGCTGATGGGATATGTTTGTCAAGGCCGAAGGCTGCGTCCCGACCATCCGTTCTTCGGTAAATCCGACACCTGCAAAATCACAGACAGTGATCTCCCTTCTTCCGGGGAGAATGTGAGTGCTGAGGAGCAACAAGAGTACTGCGATCGTGACGAGGGAGAGAAGGATGAGGCAGACCAGTCTGATCTATTTTTGAAATAAGACCTTCTCGGCATCCATATCGGTATCTTATGCCCAAAAGGTATCACGATAGACAGGAACTAACGCCTCATAAGCAGTATGACACTAACCGAGGATTTCACTGCACGGCATGTGGGCATTGCTAGACATTTCCAACGTGCAGACGTGATCGACAAAAAACAAATCCAACAGCGCCTGCGATATTCAGTGCGGATGGAAATACCGCTAGTATGAATGCACAATGACCTTCGGCCCTTGGATGCGAATATATTCCTGGGCCGAACCCGGAGTTATCCATAATCATCGACTACGCCCGGCAAGGATGATGGCCTGTCGGAATTGGATCCAAGATGATCTTAGTGAGAAGATAGTTGCAGGCCGGAAACTTGGTTGCTGAATGAGATGGCCAGCCGAGGCTCATCCTTCTCTCTTGAACATTGTTGATGAACGAAAAAGATATTATTGTTTGTTATAAGCTGCCACTTATATAAGTGTTATTAAGATGACCCGGATTGAAGGTGAAGCGCATGTCATCCGAGCAGCGGTGGGTATCTTGGCTTGTCCTCGTTCAACGCATGTTGATAGGGGAAGAGGTGCTATAGGTATCCTTAGATTGAACTACCAAGAATTCTACAGCCTCCTGATGAAAGCTCGGTGGAAGAATGCGGCCCTTTATAGTTAGGTTTTCCGACCCAACCGAGCCGAAGTGTTCAAATGTTACCAACAACTCGCCAGGGGCCCGCAGAAGAGCCGGCATGTCGATTCGAGTGCCAGGCTCATCTGAATGCGCGGCATAAGGCAGAAGAGACTGGGCTCAACTACCTAACTAGTACCTCAGTATGCGCTCCGCAAACCCGTATGGCTTGTCACAGTTCCATCACCTCACCCAGACATCACCTACTACCTCCCCCTCCCAAGGTCTCTACCCCACCTAACACTCAATAATCTTCTTTCCCTTTTCCAACCCCATCCTTTCTGCCGTCATGATCAATCAATGGTTTCTTTTACTTCGTCCGTAGCGACACACCTCTGCGAACGAAGATTGTACAATCCCCATGATGAGTGACCCGGCGTCCGATGAGCCCGAGGGCTTTCCCTCACTAGAGGAAGAGACACTACACCACCTCGATATCGTCGGCGCCAACGAGTACCGTCTAATCCGTCTCGTGGGGGAAAGCATGAACGTCTATCACAGGTTGCGACGCGCACTGTTTTGGGCGACCAGGATCAGTGACGGCCTCGAGGTCGTCGTCAAATTCTTTATTGAGTGCAACCTTCCAACCCCCCCCCTTGTTCTGTCTGACAGACAACTCTTGAGTATTTGAAGATATCCAGAAGCTAATCTGTGAGACACCATGGCAATCTAGACAACACCCCATCCTCACCACCGTGGACCCACATCGGGGCATCTTCAACCGGCTCGGGCGCACCGCAATCGAAGACGAATTCCAAGCACTCGAGGCCGCGGAAGATGTGAACGGCGTCCCCCACATTCTCGATCGTAGTCGCAGCAGCGGCGAGGTGGTGCAAGGCCCGGAGTCTGAGTATCCCGGGGGCAGGCTGGACATCATGGCTATGACCCGGCTGCCTGGATATCCGCTGAATTCCTTTGAGGGGCGGCTTGAGCCGTGGGAAGTGGATCATGTCAAGGGTGAAGTGCTGCGGATTGTCAGGTAAGTAGTTTCACAATGTGAGGCCCGATTTACCGGGCCTGGCAGTCACTCCTCTCGTTTGGGAGGGTAGGGGTGGGGGCCGGGCGTTGGAATTTAGCTAATACTTGAGACTGGCTTGGGGCAGAGAGCTGAGGCAACGGGGCCGGGCGTATGTCGACGGTGATCCGGACAAGGTTATCTTTGACAGACGGAGTTTGCAAGTGTATGGAAGGGTTTTTGTTTTCTAAATCTGCCACAATGTTGTGACTAACTCATGGACAGAGGAATTTGCTCTCTCGGACGCGCATATCCCACCTCTCATCGCGAGTTCCCTATCAGTGACAATACCATTGTTATCGAGCAGTTGGGGAGGGATATTTGGTGGTTTTATGGACAGGCTCGAGGTTCTTAGTGCTACACATTTCAATAGCTTTAACTCTCCTGTTGGTCCTTGCGGGATGCTAATGCGGATGAAACCCTCTTTATCGAGAACGGACGCGGTTCTCTTTGCCTGTAGATGACCCCCGCGGCTAGAGACATGATGGGAAGTGTCATCATGACTACGCTCCTTAATCGCATGGCCTTCTCGGTACAGACTGTTAAGTGCTTGCTATAGCTTACTCCAAGCTCAGATACCTACTTCAAACTCTTCTTCTTTTCTATCGGTCTAGCTATGGGAAATGCTTCGTGGCAGAAAAGGCGGATTCCTTCACCAAGATTCCACCTCACATATCCCGAACATACCCTTGCTCCGACACCCCTCCCTTATCCAGAACAATATAATACTCCGCATCCTTGATCGCCTCCAGCCGATGCGCGATGGTCACCACCGTCGACTCCCTCATCTCCTCGCGCAGGATCTGCTGGATCTCCAACGAGCTTTCATGGTCGATCGACGCCGTCGCTTCGTCCAGGATGACGATGGGACTGCGCCGCAGCACCGCTCGCGTGAGCCCAATCAGCTGCCGCTCGCCCTGGCTCAGATTGCGGCCTCCGGCTTCCACGGGCGTCTCGAGACTCCAGCCGTGGCGGCTGCAGACGCGCTTGAGCACCTCGGCGCATTCGGCGTCGGAGTACTCCCCCGTCGGATCGAGGTTGAGCCGAATGCTCCCGGGGAAGAGGACAGGGTCCTGCGCGACGAACGTGACGCGGGACCGCAGCGCTTGCGTTGTGACCTGCGCGATGTCCAGGCCGTCGACGAGGATGCGCCCGGATTCGGGCCGCACGACGCTGAGCATAGCGACGGCCAGCGTGGACTTGCCGCTGCCGGTGCGCCCAATGATGGCCGTTGTGGAGCCGCCGGGGATGCGCAGGGAGATGTTGCGGAGCGAGGGGTCGAGGTGCGGCGCGTAGCGGATCGTCACGTCCTCGAAGACGATGTCTTGGCCGAATTTGGGCCACGAGGCCGGAGGATCGATTGTGCCGGGGGGTTCTTGCTCCACGTGCAGCAGTTCGTCCACTCGCTCGACCGATACAAAGTCCATTTGGAGCTGGCCGTACTGCTTGCACAGGGCATGGGTGGAGGTGACGAAGTTGTTGGCCGCGATCAGGACGAAGGCTGCTAGGCCGGGGCCGACGCTGGTGTAGAGAGCGAGGACGGTAAGGCAGAAGGTCGAGACCGCGGAAAGGCTCTCGAACCGGTACATGAGCCAGCTTTGCAGTGACCAGTAGAAGTGGTCCATGCCCTGGAACTTGTCGACGACGGCGATGACGCGGTCCTGGAAGCGGCTCTCGGCGTGGAAGGCGCGCACGGTGGTGAGGCCATGAAGCAGTTCACCGAAATTGGAAATTAGTGGACTCAGCGATACCATCTCCAGACGTCGCAAGCTCTGCGAGGTGGGGAGGAAACGTCGGAAGATGAGAACAAAGGCCGCGGTGAGTAGGAGCGAGAACCCGAGGAATGTCGGAGTCACAGTTGCGATCACGGCGATCGAGGACACCCAGGTGATGGCTTGGAATGCGATCATTTGGAACTGTTCGCTGATGTTCCCGTCGACCACTCCAATGTCAGAAGTAAGTCGATTCATCAGGCGACCCACGGGCGTGACATCGAAGAATCGGAACGTGGCGTTGCTCACTCGTACCATCACCTCCTCGAACAGCGTTCGGCCGGCGCAATAGACGATCACCAGCATCAGAAGCTGTGCGAGCAGAAGCATCAGGGACTGAAAGCTGGTAATGAGCAAAAATGCTACCAACCAGGGTTTCACATTCTCTTCTGGCGCGGGGAAGCCATCAAATGGGTCCCGCGGCGCCCAGTGGATGTTGTTTGCCATCGTCGAGGCGGTAGTTATTTCCGCACTGGAAGACACACGGTTGAGGTTCGATTGTCCGAAGAACAAGAGTACCTGCTTGTATGCCTCTCCCCACTCCTTGAGAAACCATGACTGGCCAACGGAAGACAGGCGATAGATTGTCAATACCGCAAAGAGGGCGAGCCACCAGCGGTATTTGCCAGCTTGGATGTACTTCCAATATACTCGTGCCTGCACTCCCCATTCTGCTCTATGTTCTTCTTCTATGAATTTCGTGGGAATTGCAGCAGAGGCATCTTCAAGAGCAACTTCACCCTCGTTGGCAGTTTCTGTGCTTTCTGACGGAGCGCTTTCCTGGTCATCGCTGCCATGAGACGACACATTCTGGTTAATTTCTACCGTGGCCTTCCCATTTTCGATGCGAACAATTTGGTCAGCAATTTCACCGACTAGGTGGGTTCTGTGAGTGACAAGAACCACAGTCCGGTTGCGCATTAGCGGACCCAAGAAACATTGATGAACAACTGTCTCTGCTGTATTATGGTCTAAGGCTGAAAGAGGGTCGTCAAGTAGCAGTATCCTAGCCGAGCTATACATTGCCCGTGCCAGAGCCACCCGTGCCTTCTGACCCCCAGAGAGACCTATTCCATTCTCGCCCACAAAAGACAGGTCACCATGCTTGAAGTTGGAGAGATCCGGTATAAGTGCACAGGCATCTAGCACCAGCTTGTAACGCTGCTCATCAAACGGCGAAGAGAACAGAATGTTGTCCCTGATACTCATGCTCTGCAGCCACGGGGTCTGCGCACAGAACCCGACCATTTCATTTGGGAGATGAGAGATTCCTTCCAGTCTATCCAGCTCGCCCAGTAGGGCTTGGAGCAAAGCTGTCTTGCCAGATCCCACCTTACCGTGGACAACGGTCAGACCTTGGGGCACGTCAAGGTTGACATTGGAAAGCACAGGTAATAATTTCCCGGGCCAGGCAAAGCTACATGATTCCAGTTTGATGAGAGAGGCGCAGTCAGCAGCAAGTGGCGTGTTCTCTTTATCAGGCTCTGCCATGAAGTCCTCGATTCTCTCCATAGCAATCGAGGCGTTTATGAGCACAGTGATGAGACTCGGGATATCCCTCAGTCGGGTTTCCAGCATTGTAAACAGCTGAAGAGCAGGAAAGATGATATCGATGCGCAGCGGGTTTCCAGCCAAGAAGGTGTAAGCGTATAATGCGACCACAGGGAACAGCCCACTAGCAAGGGTGTTGATGAAGCGAATCAGCACATTCCAAAGACTAGTGACAATTCGCAGTTTCAACTCAGACTGTCTGGCGTCCATTACCTGACGGAGCCAATGGTTCTGCCAACCGTACCAACGCAAATGTCGCAGAGCCTCAACAAATTGAGAAGATATCTGAAGCCGGGTGTCTGTTGCTAGGCGACGTACACGTTCCCAGCGAAGAAGTGTACGAGTGATGAACGCGTTAAGCGTTTGGGCAACCAAAATTGCTATAACTCCCAAGAAGCATGACGGGCCGAGGAGCTTCCAGACGAGAACGGTCGCAATGATAAGCCCCAGCGGTTTGTCAATCAGGGAGTCAATTTCCCAGAATCTCTGCGCGACTTCGTAGACGTCTCCACGTAATAGATTGAAGATTTTGCCCATGGACGCTGTTTTCTTAATCCTCTCCTTGCGCGTTACTTTCTTGGAGCGCGAGAAGGACCACCACCACCTCTTTGATTGGCGATCCGATTCTGTCTCATCATCCGTTTCTTCGGAGGGCTCGACTCCATCTTCCTTCTCGCTTATCTCCTGATCGAAGACGTTCTTTCTCGAAAGTGCCTTCTCATAAACCATCATAATCATCTCGCCTCTACTCCGTTCGTAGGCACGTCTCCCGTACCACAGATTGAGAACCTGGGCCTGCGCTAGCACCAGGCGAAGCACCAGGCTCAGTAATGCATAGGTCAAGGCCGGCCTGCTGGACGTGCCTCGATCCTTCATCGCCTGCAACAATTGCTGGAGCAAGACAGGGGTCGAGAAATCTGCATATTTAGTCAGCGACGCGCAGCCCCTCATTGACAGGTCACCAACCACAAAGCATCTGCACGATGGAGATTGTCGTTATTATTAGCACGTCAATTCCATTCGCTTGAAGTAGCCTTCCCAGCACGGATCCTTTCAATTGCCGGAACTTCTCGTGCAGTCTGCGATGCTGAAACTCGTATCCCAGAAACCACACATCTTCCTCCTGCAATTGTTTGTTCTTGCCTACAGAAATCAGTGGAGCCATCCAAGACACGCTCAGAAACTGCCAAAGTCGCAAGTTGTCCTCTGGGCTGCGCAAGTCGCTGGATGGCACTTGACCAACAGCGCTGATGTCGTCCTGCGGAAGACTATGGCGGCGAAAGGGCATTGCAAGGATGACCGTACAGCCGGCCAAAGCAGCAGCAGCAGCCACATGGCGTGTGAAGAGTCTAGAGACATTATACACATCATCATTGATGAGATATGCGGACTCGACCACCAGTGCACTCAGAAAAAAAGAAAGCAGGGATGTAGGGCACGATCTCGGGCGCAGCACTGCAACCATGGCAGCAGCCACAGCCTGGTCCCTTGTCAGCGGGGCGGAGTTTCATCGCGAACCATTGCTTTTTCCACGTACCCAGGAGATAGGGAGTACGGTGCTTATCAAAGGCCCGCCGAGAATAACGCTGATCAGTTCAGCTAGGAATCCAATCATCGAGATGGCGAACAGGGCTACAACCCAGCCAACCCGCTGCGGAAGCCGTTCTATGGGCAGCTCTATCGATGCTGGCTGCTCCTGAATGAAGGTATTAATCCATTTTGGGCATCTTAGCAAAGCTCCATGTGATAGTAAGTGGCTCAGTGCAATGATCAAAATAACTATCGCTGGTGCAAGGGAGAGGTACTCCAAGGCACAGAGCGACGGCCGCGCATGGGGAGAGTCCTGTAGCGGAATATGTCAACAACGGACATTCGATACATGCATGTCAGATTAGAATTCAGAAGAGCTTACCCACAGCCAATAACAGGAACTAGCATCTCCATCATTCATGTCTATCAGCATCAGAATTGACCACCTAGTGACTGGGTTTGGGTAACACAAGACACTTGGAGGAAGTAGTAAGCCATCTCTCATCTCACCCGCCCTTAGCCTAGGCTAAGGCAGCGGACTCCGCACCGCCTTTTGTTGATGCCTCAGGCACTATATCTGAAAACAGACTAGCAAAAGGATGGTGAGCGGGGCGTAACTTAGAGGGGGGTGAGAACACTCCCCCACTACAACACTTTTGATATAATCCTAGTAGCGACTATTGAGGTTAGAATAAACTCAACTCCTAATATTACTTATCATCTTATTCTTTTTCTCAAGATCAGACCTTAAGTCAATATCATGATGATACTGTTTATCGTATAAAAATAAGAACTAGAGATTCATTACCTCAATAAAGTTTGATGACTATACCTGAACCCCTGACTCAATGGACTTTTGTGAGAACTTAAGTATTGAAGAAAAAGTTCTAAATGTATTTTTAGTTGGATATAACTTGAAGCAACAACAACCCCAATCTATTTTACTCTTTCCCAAACCATTGAGTTAATTCAGCCTTAACCAGCTCTATATTGCACTGCTCTATACAGGCCATTTTATGGGATTTAGAATTCTTTGAAGCAATCAATTAGCTAGATTAGTACTTTAATGTCTCTTAAAATAAGTAGTATAATATCTTCATCAGATTATAAGTCTTTATTTATTAGCTCTGGCAGCCCCACCAACACAGATCCAAATCATAGAAAAAACAATATTACCACTTTAATCTAACTGTCACAAAGCACCTTCCAAAAGGACTAGGATGTAAAGCCGATGGCTTTACACTGCGTACACTATATAAGGTTGTATCGATCAGGCATCTAGTGGTTCTTCGGGTGCTGGGCACTTTGCCTGTAATTGAAAAAAACTATATTATAGACTTGAAAGTTAGTCTTAGGCCTTACAGAAGTCCAAAAGAGGAATCCTTGTACTACTACTTAGATCTTATAGAACCCTCAGAACAGAATCTTTGTATACTGTAGTATATACATAGTCCAGGTCTTCGGCTTGACAAACATTCTCGGCTAGATCAGTACCTTAATATTCTTTTGGCCGAGCAGTGCAACGCTCTCATCATAATTATAAAGGCACTTGAACAGCCGTATAAATAGACCCAGGAACAACTATATAGATTCTCTTGTCAGCTGTGAAATTAGGCCGTCAAAGCTGTAATATAGACCTTCGGCTACTCAAAAATTGCTTAGGAAGATATAAGTATAGGCCCTCCTGGGCCCGCCATAGGCGCTGCCTGCAGGTCAGGCCCTTGTGTAAGTAGTCCTCCAGACAGGGTATGGTTATTGTTCCAAAGCACGTATGTGCTGCGTCCTGCAAGAAACTGGCCATTCGGAGACAAGTGATCAGCTGTTTAAACATACTGATTAGCTGTTTGGATAGCCTGCCAAACACAAATCATATAATCTATATTTGTTATTGCTGTTATCCGCTATTCTTGATAGTGTGAGGCCTTGCTCGCCACAGCTATTACAGTTGCAAGAATTACCACAGCCGCGAGGACTGCTAGGACTGCTACTGCCGTGAGCACTGCCACAGCCGCAACCTCTTACATGATTTCTTGCTCGTAGGAATAGTTCTATTCGCACAAATAGCCTTACTCGCACGATTCCTTGCATGCCTTGGCCGAGAGCTGATCACCAAGCGTATAAGATACATTGCTTGGTTTCTTGTCTCCTGTAAGTGGGGTGAGTCCCAAGAGCATTCTTGTTCTGAAAGTGAAACGGTGAATTATAGTCACGTGATATCAGTGTCATTGCGAATCTGCATTAATGCTCATCCGAACTTTAAAAGGAGATTGAGAACTTCACCTTCACCGGAGCTGTGAACTTCATGCGCAAACCTCGTCATCAGTACGTCTCATCATTTGTCGTCTGTTGCTGACCAGCCGGCATACTAGTTCTGTGTACCACGCGAACCCAGCGCCGCCTTCTCCACTCACCCATTCCTCCGGTATTACCTCTTTCTTCATAATCGTGCGAGGCACGTTCCTTGCCCTTCTTCGCAGACGCTTTTCTATCACTGGCTGTGTTGTCATCCGCGACAAAAGCAGGAGGCAGATCCCAGACCCAGCCCCCGATCTCTCCACCGGCTGTTTGGTCTTCAGAGGCGCCCCCCGGTACCTCGAAGCCAACCCCCGTGATCATGCGCTCGACCACCCACTCGCGACAGTCTAGATCCAGCTCCCACTTTTTACTCTTCCATGCCCAACCGCTTGGAGGTTGGACGTCCTCGAAAAACCGGCACCCTTTGGGACGGTCGCCTGCGATGCGAAGTGGCGAGAGTGGGTCGTATGGCATCGGACTGAACAGGAAATGGTCCCACTGAGATTCGGCATATGGTGCCAGGGAGCGATACTGAATCTCAAAGATTTCGACCTCGCGTTCTTCAGTGTCAGAATCCAGAGAGATATTAGCCAATGATCTCATCAAGGACATGGCACTAGAGGAGGAAGCGGGTAGTGGAACCCCAGCAGCGTTTGCCGCGCTCCTGAGTTGCTTTTCGGCCATGGATTCCGTTCCCGCAGGTTGCTGTGAGAGGTCCGCTGTGATAGCCTGGACAAAATGGTGAAAACGAGGGTGCAGGGAGAATATAGCTAGATTACCGCCAGCCAGGAAGACCAAGCGCCAAGGAACAAGATGGGCAGTCAAGAACAAAAGAGCGGCAACGAGCAGACACAGTAAGAAAACCGCTGACGAAAGCTTCTCGTCGGAGAAATTGGTCACAGGTGCAAAGGCGGAGACCATGGCGTCGTGGGCGTCGGAGAAGTCCGCCATGCAATTCTGCAAGTCCCGCATATTCACGAAGAAGTCCTTCGAGGTCTCTGAGGCTGGCTTGATGGTTTTCGCAGGTGCAAGTGCCGGGCCATCGTAAGAGTAGTAAGGCATGATACTTGAGGTCGACGTTGAAGGAGGGGGAGGGTGTCGCGCAAGGAATGCAGGCACCATGATGAAGAATAGAAGAATGGATATCGGAATCAGTACGAAGAGGTGTGGGTTCAGACAGATGAACGAATAGATGAAGAGGAACGAAAGCGTGTGGGAGGCTTTTTTCCAGCTGAACAGACGCTCAACCTGGATTTGAAACGTAAAGACAATTCCAATTCTGCACTGATCCTCAGCATCTTCTGTAAATTAAAACTGGGAGGTTTAGTATTGTACCTTGCATTGAACCTGCGAAAGTTGTTTGCCATGAGAGGTAGGCTGAAGGCTGGCCGCTTGGGGTCTGCGGCGAGAGACTTGTCGCCGCCTGACAACGATTCCTTATCGGCATCTTCTGTAGGCACTACCTGCTCCAGAATTCTTTGTACAGATGCGTTAGGGAAAGTCTGAGAGCATTGCGAATGGATCAAAGAACATACTTGGAGAATAGCCTGTCCTGCAGAGACCGCCCAACCCCCGAAACTGATTGCTTGTGCCCCCGAGCTCGCGGATGCTTGGTATCATGTTTCTGCTTGTCCGAGAATATGACAGGTATAGGCTCATCGCGATTGACGATGGGTTCTGCGATAGTATCATCCATGGCGATCCATCAACGAGGACTCTTCTGCTGTGGTCAAGTCAAATCAAGTAGAAGGAGCATCTCCAAGGGGGTTGGTGTGTGTGGAGAAAGGAAAGAGTGAGGTCACAAGTGAAGTCGCAGCAGCAGAAGCACATGCATGGCTGGATGCCCAGATTTTGGGGTCACCGAGCTTATCGGCGGGAGCTTGTATTGTAACTATGGATAGGGTCAGTGACAGTCAGTCACGGGTGGTATTGCGCAATACGACCATTACGTAGAGCAGCTCCGTAGAATAGGACGGAGTGAATGACGGATGACGGTAGGTTAACTTACTACTAACTACTGCAGTGAGCAGATTACGGAGTACCATCGGGGCGATCCCGCCAAAATGGTAACTAAGTGAGTGGGTGTTTGGGCTGTTTGCAGCCATGGAAGCAGGCAAAAAGGAGCAGGGGGGGCACAACTAAAGAGGTTTCTGAATGGGTCTCGGGCTCGAAATTGTTTACCACCTCTTTATTTTTCCAGTTCCATCATCCATGATCCATATCAATCCTTCCTCTCTCGGTCTCTTTTTTCTCCTAACACACTTCCATCCCCCCCCCTCCCCACTTACTGTCTCAGGCATAGAAGTATAGGGGATACTCATTGTTGACCTGTACTCTTTTTCTCTTCTTCTGTCACATCACCCATTCATTCTTTTTTCTTAACCACCTTCCTATTCTCACCCGTGTCGGGCACACTCCGTGTTTGCTCTTTCTCATTTGGAGTGGTTGCTCAGGTGTACTGTACACAAGCCCGTACGTAACTTTCTTCGACGCCAAGTCTGGCAAAGAACAACCTACTGCTGCCCCAGGCAGAGTTTCTTCTCTGCAGAACATCACCCATCTTTTCTTTGGGATTTTTGCCCGAAAAGGGGCCCCCAGAACGGCTTTCGCAGACAGAGCTTTCATCTGTGGTTTCGACTCGATCTAATCGATTACCAGATTCCTTCGTCGCCCAGCCCGCAGCAGACACCGCTGTTCTTGACCCCCGCAATGGACCGGTAGCAACCGTTGATGGGTCGCGCGACGGTGTTGATCAGGGTTCTGCTTGGTTTGGACACCGAAAAAAAAATTAAATAACATTCGCCTTCTACTCCTGAATGCCATTGCGATTGGGCTTGCCCTTGCATCCCCCCGCTAACTCGTTTCCCCAACCTCTCGCCTCCGGTTGATCTACCTACCTGTCGTCCGGAGCTCTCCCGGTCGCAGTTCGAGGATGATGCCGGAAAATCCATCTTCTCAAGACACTCCAGGAAAGGGGCACTTGCGCAAAGTCCAATCGAGGTCTTCGAGCCCTTCTAGAAATGACGGCTCATGTTCAGAAGGTAAAAATGCTTGACCAAGATCGGAATTGTCGTTATCGCTTGCAGGTGGTTCTTTGTTGACCACGGCTAACCCATTGTCACTCGCTTGAACAGAAGGACCCACGCGCAGACGGTTGCAAAAGCACTCTTCGACCTCTTTCCTTTCCGAAGCTTCGTCCCACTCGTCCAAATCCATTGCCGCAACCCGAACAAGTGTAATGAACCGGAGGAGGTTGTCTATTCGCGATCAGAAAGCGCCGCAAGGCCCACGACCGCAGGATCCTTCACGAACAAGGTATAATCGCCTCAAGCTCTCTGTTGCCTCTCCCCCCACATTCCCGCTATTTTAACTTCAATTGTGAAACCTTTGGCCTCCAGCTTTAAGATTTCCGATCACGCATGTTGATACTAATTTGAACAACATGTAGCAATACACCCGGCTCGTTCTTCCACTCCGGAAACTCCTCGATCGATTCCACAAATGACTCAACGCAGAGCAACAATTCCCGCATTAGCCTACGATCTACCAGTGTCGGAAATTTAGCGAAGCCAGACTACAATCAAATGCCCTCCCAAAGTACCGAGTTCCTTTCCTCGGTCAACTTCGATGACATGCAGAATAGTATTGTGGGAGAATCGCAGCTGAAGTACTTCCCCGTGCCTGGAAACACTGGTTCGGGGTATGAGCCCGGTTGGACGAATGGCAGTACCAATGGGGAGGGTACACGCTCCAGGAGCAATTCTATCCGGCGGAAAAGCGTGGTTAATTCGTCCAGCGAATCGGTATCATCTCGTCCATCAGCGACTTCTACTACGACAGGTCGTAATCGTCGCCAAAGCCTTGCTCAACAAGCGGGCCCGAATGGTACAGCTTCGCGTGCCCCGAGGAAGTCCATAGGCCCGGTCTCATTGCCATCCACCGTGACCGGGAGACGACAGAGCCTGTCTGCGAGGAAAGCGAGCGCGGATACCACTCGTACAGAGCAGACCAGCTATCTCCGTCCCCGCACGCAGCAATTCGATCTCGGTCGAACCGAAGGTACGAAGCTTTCCAGCAACGCGCGGAGTATCAAGGCAAAGTCGCTTCAGCCACCGTTGCGAGAGCTCCACGAGAAATACTTGACAGCGTCTGGCCCAGCAGAATATTCTCGGTCATCATCGACTAATGCAGTTCGAACACCAGTTAAAAACGCGGCAGCCGCTCCCAATACTCCAGCCTCGTCCTGCAAAAGAGTCTCGGTCATGCCGCCACATGTACATGGTCTTGGAGCCCGTACCATAAGCCCTACCGATGCTCGTCGGGCTAAACGTATGTCAACAGCTCCTTCGGCGCACCCTACGCCCTTTACCCCTCCGACCCAAACAGAGCCCATGCCTGTCCGACCTCGCTCGTCCGCGCAATCGCCGTCGCATATACCTCGAAAGAGCGTTACTCCGTCCTCAAACCGAACCACCCCTGACCCGAATCGCAAGTCGTACAGTTCCGGCCTGTCGCTCTCATCAACCACAACCTACAATTCCGTAAGAAACTCAGCTGGCTCATTGCAAAACCGCCTATCTCACAGCTCGTCAACGTCCCGATTACCTACTCCCAAGACCCGCTCCGAACCGAACCCGCCTGATGAGGAGGTCCCACCTGTTCCTGCGATCCCGAAAGCCTATGAATCCCCTAAGGGTGATTTTGAGCCGCCGAATTATGTCACTCCGCGCAAGCCAAGCTTAAACATGGAAACAGGCTCCAAACCTAAATTGGAGTCAGAACCGGATAACAACCTGACCGCGACTATTTCAACGGAGGACGCCCCCAAGACAAGAGAAGGACGCGCGATGAAGACTCCTGAAGCCAAGCCTAGAACCTCCGCGCTTCTTGGGAAAAGGAATCTTCAACCTCTCAAACTACCACCTTTGAATCTGCTTCCCCTTGGCACACCCATGACAACCAAGATCGAGGCATTGAGAGATCGTGAAGATGATCTGGCAGTTCACACGCCATCCGCTCAGATCGCATCCAAGACACCGAGTACTCCCCTGACTGCCTCGAAGGCCAACTTTTTCTCGACAGTCGAGGATGATGATCTTTTGGCAGTTACACAAGCGAGAAGCAGCACTTCACATTTTGCGCTGAGTACTTCATCAACTGCCTCAGCCTTGCGAACTGTGAGCGGCTCCAGTGCTCTTGCAGGGTTCGACAACACGCCGACTAATGCAAGGACGGTGTCGCCTTATGTTGCATATAGCCTTCCGAAAAGCAACAGTGAACATACGAACTTGAAGCAGAAAGGCAGTGACGACTATTCGCCCAAAGCGGTTCAGTCGTACAAAATGACAGGTCCTCGACCTCAAACACAGTCTTCTGCTTTCTCATCGAACGCGGAGACGATCAGTCAGCTCTCAACGCCCTCCGACCCGGACAATAACAGTATATCGAGCTCATCCCTTCGCAACAAGATCACAATGACTCGGAAGCGAAGCAGCTCTAAGAATCAGACAGGAGTTGAAGCCAGCAGCGATCCCGTCAAACATGACCCAATGCCACCCCCGAAGATTCCCACATCCTCGACTTGGAACAACCTCACTACTATCAAGACTTCCAGCCCCACGCTTAAACCAAGCTATCTCAAGTCCCGACGGCAAGCATCTGTCTCGAAAGCCTCTGGCCAGACACTGAGGAAGCCTAGCTTCAGCAGTGAGCAGAGTCTTGCCTTGGAACCGAGCCCATCCAATGACTCCAATGACAGTGACCCTCCCGTTCCTCAGCATCGAACTGCAAGCTCAATCTTTTCGCCGGTTCACAGAATCATCAGTTCGGCTAAGTCCAGCGTGGCTTCTACTCCAGCTCCCCCGCCTACCAGCGATCCCAAAGTTGACCCCGATATTCGTGTTGCTGACGAAGAGATGCGCAAACTTGGCAGTAAACGCAAAGACTTTGAGACGGCCGCCAAGAATCTGGATGATCTGCGTCGCAAAGCTAGTCCCAAGGAGCGTGTGAGCCCAGCGCAGGCCCTAAGGATCGCAAACTTGAATATTTTCGAGCGAGGAGAGATCATCGACTTCAAAGATGTCTATTTCTGTGGCACCCAAAATGCCAAGAAACACGTTGGTGATCTATCCGTCCAAGCGAATTTTGGCTACGACGACGACCGCGGCGACTACAATATCGTCATTGGGGATCATCTGGCATACCGCTATGAAGTGATCGATGTTCTCGGTAAAGGAAGCTTTGGTCAGGTAGTGCGATGCATTGACCACAAAACGGGAGGTCTTGTTGCAGTCAAGATCATCCGCAATAAGAAACGATTCCACCAGCAAGCCTTGATCGAAGTCAACCTTCTTCAGAAACTGAAGGAGTGGGACCCTCAGCGTCGGCATAACGTGGTCAATTTCACCCAAAGCTTTTATTTCCGTGGCCATCTTTGCATCTCCACCGAGTTGTTGGGAATGAATTTGTACGAATTCATCAAAGCTCACGATTTCAAGGGCTTCTCTCTCAAGCTCATCCGCCGCTTCACTAAACAAATGCTGAACACTTTGGTGCTATTGCAGGCGAAGAAGGTCATTCATTGTGATCTGAAGCCGGAGAACATCTTGCTGTGTCACCCATTGAGCTCTGACATTCGGGTCATCGATTTCGGCTCCAGTTGCTTCGAGAATGAGAAAGTGTATACATATATCCAGAGTCGATTCTACCGTTCTCCCGAAGTCATTCTTGGCATGTCATACGGTATGCCCATTGACATGTGGAGTGTAGGGTGCATCCTTGCCGAGCTGTTTACTGGCTACCCTATCTTCCCAGGCGAAAATGAGCAGGAACAGCTTGCCTGCATAATGGAGGTGTTCGGACCTCCGGAGAAGCATCTGATCGAGAAGAGTACTCGCAAGAAGCTGTTCTTTGACTCGTTGGGCAAACCGAGGCTTACGGTTTCTTCGAAGGGCCGAAGGCGTC